TAATCTGCAACGCTTATTATTTTAATCAAATTTCGCTTATTTTAATCCATTTTGATATTTTAAAATAAGCAAAATTAGATTAAAATAATAAGCGTTGGAGCTTATTTTAATACCTTATAATTTTCTGTGTTTGTATTATTTTTTCATTTTACATTCAGAGAAAATTTTATATTAGACCTCAGAGCTAAGTAAATTTGGAAATAAATATTGTTAAATTTTATTTTTAAATTTGTCACAAATTAAATTTTACTTAATTACACTAAAATTAATTTTTTTCAACTTACACCTAGAAAAATATTTCAGTGGCAACTGTGACAAATTGAAAGGAAAATAAAAATATTTTTTTTCTCGAGAGTCTATAATAACTTTTTTGTATTAAATAAAAAAAATTTAATTAGTAGAAATTAAATTTTATTTAACATCCAATAAAAATTTTTATTCAACTCAAAAATTTATTTGGCTCTGAGAGACAAATATATATCTTTTCTCAGGATTAATTTATTAGAAATAATTTCTTAATTTTTAAGAATATTAATATTATTTATTTTAAAAATAATAATATATTGTAAATAAACATATAAAAAGCATGTAATCTTAAGTACTATCAGTACTTTATCTACAGTAATTTGACTTTTTTTTACCATCGGTATAATATAATAAAGTTCCCTATATATATGTATTCACTTCACTATTGACCCTTTTCTAAGCGGTATTTGAATTTGAACTCCATTGAATGGTATTTCAGCCTCTCTCGGAATGCTTTTTACTTTTTGATACTTTTTTTTTTTTTTTAGAAAGAGAGTTTCGTTCTTTGTTGCAATTCGCGTTTTCTCTTCGGAGGAAAAAAAAAATCGTTTCCAATGGATAAACCAGTTTTTTCTCGGTATACAGATGGAGTTCTCTCCTTCTCTCTCCCTCTCTCGCTCTATTTCAGCCATTTCTTGCCCATCATCTCTTTGTTTCTCTCCCCCCCTTCTCCCTCTCTCGCGGAAGATTTGGTTTGTTCGAGCTTTCTATTTACCCACCTATCATCCCTTTGGAGGCGCTTGCGCCTTTGGATACACAACCTGTGACATATGTGTGTGGTTGCGATGAACATATATATTTAACATGAACATATATGTATATAACATACATGCTCGTATTTGTAAACCTTGCCATTCATGCCGGCCGGGACTAAACGTGTCTGCCGCACCGTAAGCTGCGCAGAAAGTCAAACTAGGCTGCGAAAATGACACACTCGCTTTCCTCATTCACGACAGTTACTGATTACGCAATGTATAATTTTTTAAATAAATTTTTTATTACCTACAAATTCTATTCATCAAATGATATAATGTGAAAAAAAATTTATTTAATTCAAATAATTCTTTATAATTTGACTGTTATTAAATAAATATTTACTTGGATCAAATAATTTTTCTATTTAAATCAGATAAACTGTATTTGAGTCAATAGTTTCTGTTTTTTTTTCAAATAAATACCTTTGACTCAAATAATATAATTAATTGACAAAACAAAATTACCGTTTTCAATTTTTATTGATTATATAAATAAATATTTATTTGTTTCAAATATTTATATATAATATAATATTATAATATTATATATATAATATAATGTAAATATTTATTTGATAATAGTCAAGTTAGAGTCAGTTTTAAACACAAAACAATAATTTTATAATTAAATTTTAATTTTTGAAAAAGTATAAATAACAATAAATCTTATTACACTAGTAAAGGTATAGCTACTGTCAGACAAGACACAATATAATTCTAGAAATTTTAGAATTCAGTAGTACAGGTCAGTTTCAGTTCAGACAGAAGGTAATTAATAGAAGAAAAAGTTCAGTTTTTAGTATAGTATAACTCAGTTTTTGGTATCCGACAAAATTTATTAACTACTACAAATTTAATTTTCAGTAGCACAAATCAACTTTCTTCAGACAGAATGTAAAAAATACAAAAAAAAATCCTTCTTTTAGTAGTAAAAGTCATTTTTAGTCAAGACACAACTTAATAAATAGCAGAAATTTATTTTTCAGTAGTACAATTTTATTTTAGACGGACAAAACATAAAAAATACTAGAAATTAAATTATTCGTAATACAAGTCGATTTACAATAATTCAGTTTCTAGTAGTACAAGTTGGATTTAGTCAGACAAAAAGGTACACCCAGAGAAATGATTTATTTGAATCAAATAAAATATATTTGAGTTAAATAAACGTATATTCGTCTCAGAGCCTACTAACTTATTTATTTGGCGTAAATAAAAATTTTATTTGTCAGAAATAAATTTTTCTTTGGCTCAAATAAATTTTTTATTTCAATGAAATAAAATATATTTGCAACAAATAAATGAGTTAGTAGGCTCGGAGACAAATATACCATTTCTCTGAATGTAATAAATACGAGAAATTTATTTTTCAGTAGTACAAATCAGATTAAGTCAGACTCGGTATTATAAATCATAGTTAAAAAATGTTTTAGTAGTAAGAGATTAACTTTGGTCAGACTAGAAATTTTATTTTTAGTAGTACTTGTCTACATTAATTCAGTTTTAAGTAGTACGAGTCAAATTTCGTCAGACAGAATGTAATAAATACCAGAAATTCAGTTTTCAGTAGTAAAATTCAGTTATAATCAGACAAGACTTAATAAATAATAGAAAAATAAATACATTTAATTTAAATATCTTATTTATAGATATTAAAAAATAGATTAAAAAATTGTAATACACGGTAAAAATGCGTTAAGTATTTTTATTTTTTTCCTTCTTTTTTTAATTTCTACACCTTCTAAGCTAATGAAGATGAAAACGTTCGTTTCACAAGAGTGGAAGATGCGTCTTCCACTCTGATGGCGAATTCCTTTCACCTAACTGCATTTCTTGAAGGAAAATGCGAATGGAGTGTCACAAGCGAATGGCGTTAGTTGTCAGGTCGAATGGATTTGAGAGTATGAGACTTGGAGGCAAGGAAATTGAGATAAATGGCAATGACATCAATTCTATAGACTTGATTTCAAACTTTTAACTAAGATCTTACTTTAATGCATTATTTTTTTTTTCTACCAAACAAAAAAGAAATTGAAACAATTCTTCCTTTTTTGAATTTAGTTAAAAATAATTGTAAATGATTATCAATTTTAAAAAAATGACAAAAAAAATATTCAAATATATTGAATTATTTTTGTATTATATAGTCAGTGTGGCGAAAAATTTTTTTTAAATAAAAAAATCAGTTGAAATTTATATATATAATAATTATTATTAAATACAATTTGCATAATTTCATTTGCATAACTGAACATTCAAATTATTAATTAATAATTAATAATTAATAATTAATAATCATAATAAATTTAATATTATATTGACATTTGATGTTATATTTAATATTGAATAAAGTATTTAAATTTCACGATATATATATATATATATATATATATATATATTGAAACAGATAATTATTCTGTGAAATGATTTTTAAATATTTAAAGATTCATTTATTTTTATTTTTAATAATTAGAATTGTATTGAAAATTTATTTTTCGATTTTTCTTATTTCTAAAAAATATTCCACTTTTTTCTTTCAATTAAATTTTATTTAAAAAAAAAAACTGTGTCAAAATAATAATTTTGCTTCTTTAAAAAAAAATACTTTTAGTATTTCTTTTTTTCCCTGTGAAAATGATTACAAGTCAAAGCAATTTATTTGATTTTAATAAAATCATTTCCCATTTCTCCGTGATTTAAGGAAGAAGAAAAAAAAAAATTTTTTTTTTCCCTTACCTCAAAGCAACTTTCTTTTTCAGTGTGTATTCCACTTCAAAAGTTATTACGGAAAAAAAGTTTTTAATTTTACGGTTAGTCGAAGATGTGAAATCTTGTTGGAGAAATTAAATTGAGAAACTCATCTTCAGAAAAAAGTTTCGTATTACGTGTTGTGAGATTAATATTTTAATAATACTAAGAATTTCAGTATGTATATATATATAAATACGTGTGAATATTCAAGAAATAAAATGACAGAAGTTAAAAAACTATTTAATTGAATTTCGACAGATTGTATACACTGAAAAAAGAAAATTTATATGATTCAAATACTCGATTACTTAACTATTATTATAAATAAATATTTACTTGTAACAAATAATTTTTTATTTGAATTAAATAAACTGTATTTGAAACAAATACTATCACAAATAATAATTATTTGATAATAGTCAAGATTATTTGAATAAAATACAATTTTTTTTTCAGTGTATATTTATAGAATATTTACAATTAATAATTTTTTTTTTGATTTTCAATAACTGTATATATTTTAGAAATTATTTTTAATAAATATTATTTTTATTATATGATAATATAAATTATTAAACTGAATTTTGTTATAAATGCACTTTATATGATATACGTATAAACTCGAATAACTGTTGAAATGACTTTAAGCAATATACATGTTATATGCAACAGCAATTTAAACTATTCTGATGATTCAGGAAATTCACCTCACGTTTGTGGGTTGCTTTACTTTAACACTTTCGTAAACACATAAATACTTTATGAATAATGGATAAATTTTTTTCAACTTATTCAAGAAAATATTTGGAATTCGCAAAAATATTGATTTAGAATTTATTCTAGAAATTTATATGCAATCTCATATATTACGAAAAATAAAGCCTACAATAAGTTTGTATACATATATATATATATTTATTAAATTTTCTAATATTTCTATTTGTATTTTTTATTTTCTAATTAAAATATTGCAAGGAAAACAAAAATTTACTTGAAATAGTGAAAAATTTCACTAGAATAGCATAAAATTTAATTGAAACAAATAAAACTTTTTCTACTACAGCGAATTTTGTTTCGATGTTTTGGAGAAATTTTTTTTGGAGAAATATTTTTCAAATAGTTTTTATATAACAATTTTTTGATTTTTTTTTTTATTAATAACATGATTTGTTTTCTTTATTATTACAGAAAGTCTTGGCGGAAAATACGAGAGAACTTTGCTGAATCATCTTCTGGCGAATTATAACACCCTAGAGAGACCGGTTGCTAACGAAAGTGAACCTCTTGAAGTAAAATTTGGCATCACCTTGCAGCAAATCATCGATGTGGTGAGTTTATAAAAAATTTGAAAAAATCGAAGAAAAAAAAAAATTTATATTTTACTTAATTCAGATTTTGATTTTTTTAAAAAAAATTTTAATAACTAAATTTATAAAATTTTCGATTATTATTGATGTGTTTTTTATTTTTCTTTTTCACAGGATGAAAAAAATCAAATTTTAACGACAAATGCGTGGCTAAAATTGGTGAGTAAATTTTTTATTAATAGAATACGAAATAAAATGCGGAGGTTTTTTTTTTTTTTTTTTTATTTAGCCCCTCAATATATATATTGAATTAATTATTAACGAGTCAAAGTCAGAGTGAATGGTATGAGAATCAAATCAGTATATAGGGACTTTTCACGTAACATTTTGCAAAATATATTACATCCCATCAGTTGAACAATTGGATTGTGGTCATGTAACACATATTGCGTGGAAACAGTCATTCTGCTCAATAGTGGTCATAAAACTCCCTCTCTCTCTTTCTCTCTCTGTGACGGCCTCTGAAACTCACACGCGAAATGTACATTAGTTCATTGAAGTATTATTACATGTATATATATATATATATATATATATATATATTCGAAGCATTAACACTTATATAGAAAAACAATTTTTTCTTCTACTTTTCTTGAAAATTGTTGAATTTACAATATTGGAATTTAGAAAATAATTTTTTTTTCAAACAAAAAATGTGCTTGAAATTCAAAAAAAAGAAAATCATTTTTTTTGATTTATGATTATAATTTAAAAATTTCTAAAGTAATGAAAAATAAGAAAATATATTAAATATTTCAGAAATTATTTTTTTTTATTTAAATACAGAAAGCGTTATTTTCAGACAGAATGTAGTAAAGACAAGAAATTCAATTTTCAGTAGTACAAGTCAGTTTTATTCGGACGCAACGTAATAAATACTAGAAATTAAATTTTTAGTAGTACAAGTAGAATTTAGTGAGACAGAATATAATACTTTACAATAAATAAGGCTTTCAGTAATACAAATCAATTTTGATCAGACACAACTCAATAAATATTTGAAATTTAATTTTTAGTAGTACAAGTAGTTATCAGTCAGACAGAATGTAATAAATACAAAAAATTCTGTTTTCAGTAGTAAAAGTTAGATTTAGTCATACACGACTTAATAAAAAATAGTAATTCAAGTTTTTAGTAATACACGTAGGTTTTAGTCAGACAATATTAAAAAATACTAGAAATTAAATTTTTAGTAGTACAAGTAGAATTTAGTCAGACAGAATATAATAATTACAATAAATAATGTTTTCAGTAGTACAAATCAGTTTTGGTCAGACACAACTCAATAAATATTAGAAATTTAATTTTTAGTAGTGCAAGTAGATTTCAGTCAGACAGAATGTAATAAATACAAGAAATTACGTTTCCAGTAGTGCAAGTCAAGTTTCGTCAGACATACCGTAATAAATACAAAAAATTTAGTTTTTAGTGGTACAAGTTAGTTTTGGTCAGACACAACTTAATTCAATTTTAAGTAGTACAAGTCAGTTTTAGTCAGACAGATTATAATAATTACAATAAATAAGGTTTTCAGTAGTGCAAATCAGTTTTGGTCAGACACAACTCAATAAATATTAGAAATTTAGTTTTCAGTAGTACAACTTAGTTTTAGTCAGACACAATTTAATAAAAACTAGTAATTCAAGTTTTAGTAGTACAAGTTGGATTTAGTTAAATATTTATTAAACTATTTATTTTATTTAAATACAGAAAGCAAATATTTTATTTATATTTTTATATTTTTTTTTATTTTTTAAAATTTTTTTATTTAAACAAATGCAATAAAGTTGAATTTAATTTATTTTTTTGTCTTGCCACTAAAAAAACGGATTCATTTCAGCGGTTTTCAAATTTGAATGCGTTCAATTTTCAACGCCTTCAAATTTTAATACCTTTCCTCTTTTTTCCAGCTTTAAATTATTGAAAGGGTTTTAATTTTTCCGTGAATGTAATTTTCAACGAATTCAAAATTTAATGCAATTAATTTTGAGCACTTTCAATTTTTCAAATTTTTTTTTGGAATTTCTTATATTGAATCATAAATTTGCTTTTTTTCTAGATTGTTTTGAAAATAAAATAAAGATACTAATAAAGTAAAAGAAATTGTCCAAGGTAATAAGTATGTTTTTTGTTAAATTTCTAAAAGCAAAAATTTTTTCCACATTAAATGGACAAATATAAATTGTGAATCAAATTTCTTTGTAAGATTTTTTTTCTCTTTCATATATACGTACATTGCAGTGTTCTAAAAAATGTACCCACTTTCAAATCTCAATGTCTGGAAAGTTAGAACGATTGAAAAATTAAAAGTCTTGAGTTCTTAATCTTCTTCATTTAATCATTTGGAACAGTAGCGTTGAAATTAAAGTGCTTTTAATATTAATTTCTTAATTATAAGAAGGTTATTCAGCTATATTAAGCTCGACTATTTTTAATTTTCTTTCTTTTAAATATATTTTTTTTTTCGTTTTTCAATTATTTTTCTCATTTCTTTCTTTTTTTTGCAAATTTTTTTAAGACATTCTTTATCAAAAGAAATATCTACTAAATATATATATATATACTCCTTTAACAAAGTGCGAGACACCTTCCGGCTCTGATCGTTTTCAGAAGAAGTGAGAGAGAGAGAGAGAGGAAGTAAGAATGGCTTTCATTTCGCCAAGTAGGTAGATTTAACTGGTTTGTATAGCTCATCTGGTGCTTGGTTAGGAAAATCGAAAAATCATTTCCATATTGTTCTCCATCTTTCTCTTTTCTATATATATATATATAATATTTTTTTTCACACACACACACATATACAAAATTTCTACAAACAAGAGCGGCTCATCAAGATGAAAGAAATCCGGAACATTTTTCGACACCGGTAGTCCGCTTTTCTCTCTCTCTCTCTGTACTCTCTTTTTTTGCACTTTTTTTCTCTCTTGTAAAAAGAATAGAGAGAGAGAGAGAGAGACAAGGCGATGTTATCCGAGTCCACTAGAATAGAGACTAGAATTTTGTGAGGCAGCGGAAGGTGACATTTCGAGGTTATCCTTCCCAGACATAAGCCTCCCCCCCCCACTCCCTCACAGTGCTGTCTTCATTGCTATCCTCTCCGATTTTCTTCAAGCTTTATTATAAAAAAAAAGTATTGCGAGCAGTCTTGTGCATTTGCTACTTTTTCCTCCTCAAGAGACAAATTATTATCATTTCTGTGTGAAATTTGACATATTTCGAGATTTTAAATATTGAATTGTGTCAAAAGAATTTTGATATTCTGAATTTTTTCTTTTTCTCTGTTATTTTCATGATACAACAAAGAAATTATTGGACAATTTTTTTTTTTTTGAGAACATATAAAAAGAAGGTTATTTGGTGCCTAAAAGTTTTATAAAAGTAGCAATTTTATTATTAATATTTTATTAATTACTAGTAATTACTTATTATATTGAGTTTTTTTTAAAATTATTATTCAAATAATTACTTTGGCCTTTTTGATAGAAAAAATAAATATTGATAAAAGTCTGCGAGTTTTATAATAATAAATTTTCATTTGCTTCAAGTTAAAAAATTTTTCTGATTTTTCGTTTCTCTGTTTTTTTTTTAATTTAAATAAAATTTAAAGATATTTTTAGTAGTTCAAAACTAATTTTTGTCAGACATAATCCAATAAATACCAGAAATTCAGTTTTCAGTAGTACATGTCAGTTTTAGTCAGACAGAAAGTAATAAATACTAAAAATCCTGTTCTGAGTAGTATAAATAAGTTTAAGTCAGACATGATTAAATTTTTTTTTTAATTTATGTTTTAGTAGTACAAGGCAGTGTTAGTCAGACATAATAAATTTTTGGAAAAAATTTTTCAGTTGTAAAACACTAGCTTTTGTCATACAGAATGTAAAAAAAAATCAATTTTCAGTAGTAAAAGTTAGATTTAGTCAGACACAGCGTAATGAAAAAATTCAATTTTTAGTAGTACAAGTAGGATTTAGTCGGACAGAATAGAATAAACACAAGAAATTCAGTTTTCAGTTGTACAAGTCAGTTTTAGTCAGACACAGTTTAATTAATTCAATTTTTAGTAGTACAAGTAAGTTGTAGTCAGACAGAATCTAATATAATTAATTTACGTGTTTCACTAGTAAAATTAAAAATTGCTCAGTCAATTTAAATTCCTCCAAATAAAATTTCAATGGTATTTCTTTTCATGTATAAAAAATAAATACACAGAAAATTAAAAGGCATTAAAATAAGAAGCGTTGCAGCTTATTTTAATGCCTTTTAATTTTCTGTGTATTAATTTCAATAATTTTTTTTTTTTTTTAAATATTTTTCTACTTTTTTTTAAATTATCAAAAAAACCTTATGCAATGAAATATGAAAACAGTAAAAACGTTTCATGTCATTATATCTCCTTAAACTTTTATAAAGTTGATGAGAGAGCCCTTTGGGGCTTTGAAATATGTCGTTTTTAATATAAATCTTTAAGTGCCTAAAGTCCTTGTAAAAAAAAATATATTACTCTTTAAAAAAAAATTTTTTTAATGCATGTAGAGAAAGTTGTTTTTTTAGGATATATATATATATATATAAATTTACGCTATTTTAAATTGATTCTTTTATGTGGTATCTTAAATAAATTTTTTTATCTCTCTAAAGGAAAGAAAGTGATATTTTTGAAAAATCTTATATTTATTTTTTCAAAGTCTAAAAATGTCTCATGTAATTTATAAATGTTTTCAGAGAAAAAAGAAATGGGTATATTATATCATTGTGAAAAAAAAAAAAAATTTCCAAGTACAATATAACGTCTTAGATGTCGTCTTTTACGGAGATACTCAAGTTTCTTTTAGTTTGCACATTGAAAATTCTGAACTAAAAAAGTCAACAACGTTGTCATAACACTCCGGTTTTTCTTCTGACATCCAAGGAAAATTGTAATCCTAACTTAGCGTGCTCTGTTGACCGTTTATACTATACTTTCACAATTAGTTTCTTCCACTAGAGTATACTTGAGAGAGTATATTATTTTTTTTTTCTTCACTTTCTTTTTACCTACTCAAAAAAAGGGAGTTCCTTTTTTAGTAGTGTGAAAATTGTCAAATTTTATTAATTTACCATATAAATAATAACTATATATATATAAATTATCGTGTTTGAAGGACAGTAAATGGTTTCATATTATTATTATTATTATAAATGTGTGAATTTTCAGACACAATGAATTTTCCAAATGGTTGATAGGATTTGAAATAATTACTGTAACTTGAAGTAATAATCCGTCCTACAACTTCCAAGACCAATTTCTGCCTCGGCGACCATAAATTTTAATGTTACATCGCCGACATCACGAGCTTGGCATTTTCGTTCTCAAACCTCGTTTCGCAGATAACGGAGTCATTAGAGAGCCTTCAAGCGTACAGAGCTTATGCGAGAGATTTAACTTCTGTTGCTGATACCAAATTTTTCATTTTTTTTT